TCTCCCACCCTCTCTCTCGTAAATTCGTTCAGTTGCATGAGAACTAGGTATCGCATTTCATTAGAGGGAGATGGGAAACAGGATCCCGTTGGGGTGAGAAGGTCGTCATAAGGTCATCATCAAAATGTAGTGGTAGTAAACTCAAGGGAATCAAAATTCAAAAGGAGCAAAAGCAATCCGCCATAGAAAAAAGAGAAAAAGGTAAACAAAAAAAACACCACGGTTCTGACGGAACAGGCTGCGCCCCGGCAACCCGTCCTAGTCACACATCCCGCCTAGGTTCATATCAGGCGGTTTTTTTTATTTTGCGTCGTCTCATTCCCTCCTTTGCGTGCTTTGCCACGGGCCATGAGGTTGTATACTGAGGGAAACGAAAACGAACAAAGAAAAAAAGAGAACAGAGGAAAATAAAGGGCATCCGTCCTTCGCCGTCCATTCATATTCATCTCATGAGTGGATCTGCGTAGAAACGCATGCATGTCCTCGTCCCGTGTATCCTTGCACAGCGTAATTCGTCAGCCATGTGAGGAAGAGCCAAGACGCCGTGTTGCGACTGGTTCCCCGTCATCAAAGTAATCAAAGTCGTAAAGCTCGTTGTCATAGAAGTAGAACAGTGCCGGGCTGTAGCTCAGCCAGTACAAGAACAGTCGTGACGCGAAAAAAGAAGGAAAAAAGGGCTCTTCTTTCAAGGAGTGTGGTGATTGGAGGGTTTTATATGTTCGAAGGTCGAGACCAAGATTTGTTTGGCAAGGTGGCTCGGGGTCCAGGGGAGAGATGGCCCGATCCCAATTAGAAAGTACAGAAGTCTGTTTGGAGAGGGTAAAGAGAGGGGGTCATCGCCGTCTTTGGGTGACGGTGGTTCGGGCGCGGTTCAGAGGAGCGGGATCGTAACTTGGAGGTCCAGAGACGGATCCTTCGCGTATCGTTTTCCGTCTCTTCAAGTCCATCTCACCGCCTGGCCCTCTGCTGGAAGGTCGACCATCGTCCTCGTCATCGCGTCCACGCTTGTTACTGGCTGGGGCTCCGTTCATCACGGGTTGCTGTGCGGCGTAGCCATTCGACATTGAGTTACCCATATCAGGCTGAGGGGCGTACACGTCACCACCGGTGCTACCATTCGCGGTTCCACGCTCACTACTGATTACATTATAAAGATTACTGGATGGCGGCTGAACTCGCGGAGGGGTGTTGTATCCTTGTTGTTGGCTGGTGAAGTAGGGTTGAGGAGCAGACGCTGTTCTCGGCGTTGCGCGTCCAGATGCTGGGTGGTTGGGGGAGCCGGTCATCTCAGGCGATAGGTGTGTATGCTCTCCCGGTAAACCGCCTACGGCAGAGCCATGGGAGTAGCTGTATGGTCCTCTACTGGAATCATAGCTTGCTGGATTTCCATGGGTATACTCTGCTTCGTGCTCATGATCTGCCTCATCCTCACCCTGGCTGTGCCCAACCTGGTTTTGACCTTGGCCGTGGTGGATCATGCCGTTGCTGTCTTTGGGATCGTGGTGGCCATTTTCCGACTCAGGAGCTCTGCCTGTGGGGGGGCCCATCTCATTCTTGATATACGCGTTTGGTTGAGGGTACCTTGACATGTCTTGCTGACCCGGCGCAGATTGCGGGTAGGCATTCTGTTGAGGCGGGGGAGCCGAGTACATCTGCCGCGAGGAGTCGTAGGGTTGCTGTGAGCTTTGCTGGTATTGTTGCATACCCTGAATCGAGTTTCCTGGAGGTGTCGTTGCTGGAGTAGTTGGCATTGAACGTGTGTTGCTCAGACCCGTGTCTATAGACAGGGAATTTGTACCTTGGACACCACCCATCGGTCCCGGTGGACCCCATTGAAAGTTGCCGTCTGAGCTCCCCATGTTCCCCATTACGCTCGAAGCACTTGTCGGCGGAGTTGGGAATGTGTGCGCTCTATCCATTCCTGGACGGCCTACATTAGGGTGCGGCGCGATCGAGTGTTGGGAGCCAGGCAGGGAACCGCCTATCGAGCTGTTCATAGAATGGTGATGGTGTTGATGGAGAGATGGAAGGCCTGGCGCTTGAAGATTTCGCATCTGGTTTTGCTCCAGCTTCCTCTTCTCGGCAGCTGCCATGACCGCGTTCGTCCGAGTCTGGTTTGTGGGATGATACAGGAGAGCCCCGATGTTATGGACGAACAGAGGATATAACAATTCCGTAATCTTTTCCTTGTTCGCAAAGTCGAGAGCTCGATCATATGGAATCCTGCAGCCAGTTCATTAGCTTGGGCCGACATCGCCTCCGGGTCTCCTTCCAAAGCTCACCAGACTCCTTTGAGATGCATGGGGCCAATCTTGACCACGTGTCTCATCTTTTCACTCTTCAGGATACCATCTCTGCGGCCTCGCGTCATGCCAGCCACATTCAACAGTTTCGTCCCGTTGATCATTTGGTTATCTGCGAATTGTCAGCGCGCCTCGCACCCATCGACGTTCTCACACCTACCCTCGCGTCTGGCAACGCAAACACCCTTCGCCTCGACTTGAAAGCACAGACTGCCCTCGTCTTCCCACAACGTCGCCGTGACCCTCGGCTTCATGCCCGGAGGAGCGACTTGTCCCGTAGTATCAAATCCGGGTTGCGCCGCGCCATACCCGGGGCCCGGCATCGGTTGACCAATGGCTGGCAAGGGCAACACATTTCCTTGCGGGCCCATCGCGCCCGAAACCTGGTGGCCTGCGGATTGCGGGGAGGTCAGACCGTTTTGGTAGCCATATTGGGGGTATGGATGCGGCGCCGGGGAGTATTGCGCCGGCCCCGGTTGCAACAACGGGGGCTGCTGGTGCTGGTGCTGGTGCTGGTGCTGTTGCGGGTAATGTCCCATACCACCGGAGGATGTGACGGTTTGGGGTGCCGGAGGCTGGCCGTTCGAAATGGGATAATACATCTCCTGCGGGCCGTGATTCATGTTGTTGGAGTACGAATCTTGCTGGCCGTACGAGAACGCGGGATCCGACGAAGGCGGGGTGGTCTGGTAGGAGGCGTGCGAAGAGAGGGAAATCGGGAGGCCCGTATGGCTGGTCAGAGGCGGAGATGGGGTTTTCGGTCCGTTCGACGACGACGCCGTCGTGTAGGAGGAGTGCGAACTACCGTTCAGGATCGAGGACCCAAGGGAGCCACCCCGAGGTGATGATGTACCGGACGAGTATGCCTGTTGCGGCTGTGGCAAAGGCAGGGAGGGCAACCTATCATTCGCATACAGCGATCGCTGTGCGGCGTGATGATTATAGTACGGCAGGTCTGAGGGTCCCCGGGTTTGCACTTGGGATATCGGCGGGAGATCCAGCTTTTCGGTTTCGGCGGTCGAGTCCGTAGAGGACGATTCACTGACAGACTCAATTAAGAGCCGCGAAGAGGGACGTGGGGGGGTTCACAGGTCTCTGCGAACGATTGCGCAAAGGATGCCGTTGATGATTCGAGATGGCTGTAATTGAGTGAATGATATTTGGTCATGAAAATCCGTCAAGTCGGGTTGGTTTTTGGTCTTCTCAGGAGAACAGCAGCCTTGCGACAAGGCTTTACAACTATTGCAGATAGTGGATAGTGGGGAGGGGGCTGGTTCGTTTATCTGTCGTGAAGCACAAAAATGCATGAAGCGCAAAAACGACTCCGTGAATAATGGTTGGTCTTTTTTTTTTTCCTCTTCCTCCAAAGACTCGAACAGCAAGACGTGTGGCTCGTAGAAAGTCGTTAATAATGACTTGAAGATGAAGTCCGACTATCCAATTGGATCGCGATTGCAGGTCCACGACAGCTGTAGCGGGTTACGCGAAGCTGCAGGTATGCTTGTTGTGCGCTGCTTCTTTGCCGCTCCGTGATTCTGATCCGTGCTTCGGTATTCTCGAGGGTAGGGGAACGTTTCGTGGGCGGTCGTTGATCTCGTAATGACGGCACGGCGGTCGCAGGTGAGTGAAGCGAAGCGTGAGTGAGGAGAGAGGAATGGAGGGGAGTAGAGTGGATGAGAGAGATGGTTGTTGTCTTGTTGGTATGTACTGGAATGGACGGTGAGGAAGGGATTGAAGCACTTTTTCGACCACCTATAATGCAGGTACAGCCATGAGTGTCGGCTTTGCAGGAAGTATGAAGGATACAATGGGAAGAAGGGAGGCGCAAGAGACAAGAGAGTCTTGCTTGAGTGGGGATAGCGAGTGGATGCAAGTGCCACGAGTTCCAGAGCACATACCTTTTTTTTTTTTTTCGCGATTCCGAGACCTGCAAGCTGCAACCTAGGAAAAATGAAGAGGTCGGGGAGCGAGCGTAAGGAAGAGCCGTCGAGAGAGGGATCTTCCAGAAATGGCGGGGAGAGGGAGAGCGGTAGAGGAGGAGGAGGAGGTTGGGAGGAAGAAGATTTGGGTGGTTGGGGGGGAGGGGGAGGGATATTTTTTTTTTTTAGGTCGGTCGGTGGCAGTAGGGGAGGGAAGAGAAGCGGAGGAAGAGGAGGAGGAGGAGGAGGAGGAAGAGGAGAAGAAGGTAGAGGTTGAGGAGGTAAAGGTTGGTGAAGTACCAGTAGAGTAGAGTAGAGTATTCCGTAGAGATCAGACCCAGTTCGAGTAGTAAACAGGACCGGACCGGACAAGGCAGGGAAGGGCGGACAGGGCAGGCAGGACAGGCAGGGCAGGCAGGGCAGGCAGAACAGGGCAGGGCAGGGCAGGGCAACACACACACACACACACTCTCTCTCTCTCTCTCTCTCTCTCTCTCTCTCTCTCTCTCTCTCTCTCTCTCA